TGTGAGAGATGATGCACTATATTTCTCACCTTTTGTTTGTTGTGTCACTGATTTGATTCTTTTTTCTAAATAAAACACAATTAGTAATTCTACAGGCATTTTTTTTTATTTTGCTCAGGAGTTGCCATCGATAAGGTGGCATTACTAAGTCAAAAAATTCGGGACTATGTGGGGAAAAAAATTCTTGAGCTGACTCTAAAGGAATTGTTTGTTTTCCGGTTCATGCAGGCAAGTGCAATTTGTGTTTGTCTTCAGTTTTTAATGAATCGTGGCCCTTGTTCCTTCTTTATCATAAGTTGTGTAATTTTGTCCTATGTTTTCATTGAGAAGGGATGGGAGAAGGGATGAGAAGCAAATCTTTCTTATGTGTGTTGTCCAAACTAAACATTTTTTTGAATTTTCAATTCTTTTATCTGCAGTGCAGTCTTTTATGTCTCAATGCTTAGTTTTCAGTCTTGCTTAGAGCTTAAATTTTTGTTGTTGGTTAGGATTGCAAACTACACTAGTGGCTGATTTAACTATTGTTTATTGAAGAAATTTAATTATTTTCATGATGCACCTTGACGATGATGTATCTTTGTATTCATTTTTTCTTAATTGTTTCTGGAGGTACAATAAATTGATATGTTGGGTTTGCTCATTCTGGAGTGTGATGGTTGAAAGTCTTAGTAACACCCCCAATATCAATCCTAAGCCCAAATGAAAAAGGTGAAGGATTCCATTAGGTTACTGATCACCAATGTAAATCTATGTCAAATCTTATGAATATGGAAACTGATTTCAGTATAGAACTAGGTCGTCACCTGGAAGTGGCATGAGGCACCTTCACTACCTAAGTGTCTCGAATTGCGAACAGTGGGCTAGGAAGTCGTTCGAAAATGATCCATCACATCGGCAATCGGATGTGGTGCCAAGTAGGCAAAGGTTCTCTTATTGTTTTGGACCAATGGTGGTAAAAAAATTAGTCCAAGACAACAGAGGATTACATTGGCAACTTAAAATATAGGAATACTTTTAAAGAAAGGATTAAATTTGGTAGACACTATGATCAAAGAATGAATAAATATTATCTGCTTACAAGGGACTCAGTCAGAAGGAAAAAATCTAGAGAGATTGATAGTACTAGATTTAAAATTTGATATATTAGAAAAGTTAAGCACAGATATGATGTAGGAATTGTTGTTGATAAGGATCTTAACAACAATATTTTAGATGTAAAAAGATTTAGAGATAGAATTATAATTTTAAAATTTGTGAAAGGATAAGATGTTTTGTATGTCATTAGTACTTTTGCTCCTTAAGTTGGATTGGATGATCAAACCGAAAGAGAATTTTGGAAAAACTTAGATGATATCATTAAAGGAATGCCTATAGTCGAAAAACTTATAATTTGAGAAGATTTGAATTGTCATATAGGAAAAATATATGGTGAATATAAAAGAGTGCGTGAGGGCTTTGGTTATAGGGTGGTATGATTTTGAAAATTTCATATAATTTTCTAATTATAAATATTAACCTTAAGAAAAGAAATGAATATTTAATGACTTATAAGAGTGATCATAACTATAGTCAAATAAATCTTTTTATCACTAAAGATGTAGATAAAGTTATTTGTAAGAATTGTAAAGTTATACCTGGTGAAAGTTTGACGAATCAACATAGACTGATGGTATTAGATAGCTTTTACTTCAGAATGGCTTTGGTTCTTGCTCGTTCTTGGTCGTCGTCCTTCATCGGAGCCAGCAGTTAGGAACTTTCTCCTTACCCTTGGAATTCGAAGCGCTGGAGTGTCATTAATTAGGAACTCGTAGCTTAGGAAATTTACTATAAAAAATGAAAGAAGAAAAATATAGTAGAAAAAATTACTAGGATTAGATGATAGCATTTTAAAGATGATAATGTAAATATTTTTAAAACTAAAATGGAAAGGAGGTGACTTAGAACTTAGATAAGGATAATATTAATATTATTTTGACTATAATGACTAATAAGATTAGGACCTTAACAAAGAAGATTCTTGGTAAAACTAAATATAGCAAACCTTAAAAGAGAGTTGGCGAAACGAGGATGTTCAAAAAATATTTTTTACTAAAAGATCAAGTTTAAAGATTGGCAAAACTATAAAAATAAGAAAAATTTCAAAAGATATAAAGAATATAAAAAAGAGGCTAAACAAGCAATTAGTATAGTAAGATATAAAGCTTATGAAAATTTTTATAATAAATTAGGTACTAAAGATAGTGAAAAAAATATATGTTGAATTGCTAAAGCTAGGGAAAGAAAGTATAAGGATTTAGATAATATTAGACGCATTAAAAATGAAGATCAAAGAATACTTGTTAATGATAACGAGAATGAGGAGGGATAAAATAAAATATATTTTTATAAATTATTTAATTAATATTCCATGCAGGATTTAGATTTAACAATAAATAATAGTGGTAGATTTAATAATCATATATTTATTTATAAAATTAGAGTTAATGAAGTATAAGACACATTAAAAAAATTAAGAATAGCTTAGAGTGTAGCGCCTGATGGTATCCCTATTGAGGTTTGGAAAAGTTTAAAGGACAAAGGGAGTAGCTTGGTTAATTAGCTTATTTAATAAAATCATAAGATATGATACCTAGTGAATGGAGAAGAGTTTTTTAGTACCAAGTTACAAAAATAAGGGTGACATATAAAATTATTTAAATTATAGAGGAATTAAAATCATAAGCCATTGGAACTTTAGGAAAGAACTATCAAAAGTAGGATAAGGCTTGAAACAAATATCCTTGAAAATCAATTTGGTTGTATGTATTGACGATCAATCATATAAACTATTTATTTATTAAGACAATTAATAGAAAAGTATAGGAAGAAAAGAAAGTTTTGCATATAGTTTTTATTAACTTAGAGAACTTATGATAAGGTTCCAAGAGATTTATTATTGTGGGTTTTTGAAAAAAAAGATATATCCATTAATTATATTAATGTTATTAAAGATATGTATGATAATGTAGTTACTAGTATTAGAACTATAGCAAGTGTGTCTAGAGAGTCTTCTATTAGCATAGGATTACACCAAGGATTTGCATTAAGTTTCTACCTTTTAACATTGATAATGGATAAACTTACTAATCACTTACATGATAGACCTCTCTGGTGTATGTGATTTATTGATAATATTATCTTTAGTTAATGAGAGCTTAAGTAGAATTAATTATAAGCTTAAACTATAGAGATAAACTTTACAACATAAAGGTTTTAGAGTGGATGGATAAGACTTCCCTTTAAGTAAAAGCTTTAAGTATCTTAAATCAATTATTCAACAAGATGGAGAGATCGATGAAGATATTATTCATAAAGTAAAAACAAAGTAGTTTAAGATGGTATTAGAATGTGCCGAAGTGATCTCCATATGTTGTAGTTGAAAAAATTAATATTAGTGATAAAAAGAGAAAAAGTGAAAGACCTAAAAAGATTTTAATAGAAATTATATATAAAGATTTAAATATTTTAAATTTAACTAGACATATGACTTTTTATAAATCTTAATGACTGCAAAGATCCATGTAGCCGACCCCAAATAGTTGGGATTTACGGTTTTGTTCTTATTGTTATATGGTTGAAAGTATGATTATATGATAAATATGTTTTTTTAATATTTTTAAACTGAATCTAGATATATGATTTTACATATTCAGTTCATTAATAATATATATATTTTGTAACATTGGATGATCTTTTGCAGACGGATCCCAACTGGGGCAATTTTCTTTTTGATGAGACTACCAAAATGATTAACCTCATTGACTTTGGTGCAGCTCGTGAGTATCCAAAGAATTTTGTTGATGACTATCTACGAATGGTATGACTTAGGACTTTTTTTTATTACTATTTTGTGCTGATTTTGCACAATTCTTATGGTACTCTAGGTTTATATTAATTTTTTAGTTTCCATGCCTTTTCGGTCAGAACTTTGAAGACATCTGAGATTTTAGTTGAGATGTACACATAATATGTCCATCTCGTTTCATCTTTCTCATCCGGTCATTGTGCTCCATTCTATCTCTTGATTAACAGGTCATCGCATGTGCAAATAGTGATAGAGATGCAGTGATAGAGATGTCGCGGAGACTTGGCTTTCTTACAGGTGAGGAATCGGATGTTATGATGGAGGCTCATGTCCAAGCCGGCTTTATTGTTGGGATGCCCTTTGCGAAAGGTGGTGGATATGACTTCCGTTCGAGCAACATAACCCAAAGCATCTCAAATCTTGGGGCAACAATGCTGAAGCACAGGTTGACACCTCCACCGGAGGAGGCCTACAGTCTTCACAGAAAGCTCTCTGGAGCTTTCTTGGCTTGCATCAAGCTTGGTGCCGTGGTGCCGTGCAGGGAGATACTTCTACAGGTCTATCAGCAGTACCAATTTGGTCTGTAGACAACTGCCAGTTTGACATTCATATTGGCTTATGAGTGCGTGCCATAGCGACTATAATACTGGCATGCATAGTTATCAGAATTAAATTGGAACACGATTAGGTGAAGCGTTGGGTCAAAGGTGAATCAGTCGGTCAATTGGTCAGATTCAAATTATACGTTTAATAAAAATGTTTTTATTATATGAAAACCTAAAATACAAAATTTGATAAAATTTATTTGAACAATGATGGACAAATTTAAACAAAATTTTTTGTTGTATTGAATATGATAACCTATATCTAGGTTGAAAAACATTTAAGAGTATTTAAATGTAAAAAAATAATATGTAATTCAATTACTTGCATAAAATGTTTATATATATATATGAAGTTAAAATACAGTTAATGTTAATAAAATGAAGTATAACAACAAATGATAATATGACAATGACCTTAGAAACAGAATATTAGCAGCAATGTGTACCAGCTAGGAGACCAATCCAGAAGATTCCCGAAGGAAATAAGCTACTGACATGTAAAATATGACCTAAGTCATTAGGAAGATTTCAGGTTTAAAGCCGCCAGAGAGCTCTCCATTATGACTGTTGGAAACTCAAACCTAGATTTAGCAAGCAGCAAATGATTTTCCGGTGAAATATTTGATGGGACATACTTCACAAGTTGTGCGTCCATTCCTTGATCTCTCAGACTCAATAACCTCCCAATGTCGATGATCTCTTTGCATATAAACCCCAAATGAGCCCTATCGAGCACTGGCATACCTCGTATGATTTGTTCAACATCACTATCCTCCAAGTTGGATTGCTTATCCTCACTACATCTAAAAAGCACAAAGGATAAAACATGATTCAGATGAGGCCAAAGAATTGTATTTGTCGAACATAAGACCAGAATGTGTTTTTCTTTATCAGGAAAAAGATGGGATAAGGAAGAGTCTGAAAAATCTTATGCAGAAACTAATCAAGAGATAATATTCACACAATCTTTTTCCTATATGATTTTACTCCAAAAGAAGAGTTTCTAACACTTCCATGTAAAAAGAGACGTGGCCAAGAGAAGGCATATCTCAGCTGCCAATAATTGTCAGACAGGGTAGGTGAACTTACATGGTGCTAAGATTGGTTTCTTGAGGTGACACATCAGAAAGCTCTGAACTATGATCTGCATCTACGGCCCAGCTAGTAAACCACGTCATAGCATGGAATTCTTCCACTGTGATTCCCAGAGAACGAAGAAACTTTGTGTCTGTAAAAGCAAAGTAGCACCAATAAGGAGATGTAAATTCAATGACCAAATTCTTCTCTTTTTACCTCAACCATACTACTGTTAGATTATTCTAACAAGTTCTTATAATGTGGATTAAGCCATATGGCAGTGAAGCGATTGAATAGATACAGACATGATACACTACTCATATGATCTATAACGCAACATTCGTTACCGACAGTATGCCATGGACATATCGCCTAGACCATTTGGGTGCATTTATTTTTCCCCAATTGAGATGCAAAACCTGAATTTTCACAAGCTTCAACTAGACATGTGAGCTAACAATGTATTGTTTATTTATGGAAGATTAGGTGTTAGCCAGCCAGGAATTATTTATAGTAATTCTAAAGAACTACACATGAAAGATCCAAAGGACTAAAAATCAAATCCAATTGATGTGAGATTTTGTGTCCTTTAGAATATTTTTCGTTTCATAATAAAGCGGAAAACAACTAAGATTTCTTTCTTTCCTTTCTGAAGTCATGACCTATAGATTTTTATTAGGATTGAGGAAAAGTAGATCACAAAATTCAGAGTGATGCGTAGATAGAGAGCATTTTTCAAGAGGAGGAATTACTTGTATAATGTTTCCATTGGCAAAGATGGTGACAACATGTTGCGAGAGCAATGCCTTTCAGATGAGAACTAGTTGAATGTGTTTCCTTACTTTGGTTATATTCTCGATTGAGACAGCACCTTATTGTCAGATCTGCATATGATTTTCAAAAGCAACTGTCTAGTTAGTTACATTATTGTGAAATCACCAATGACTTACATGCATGAAACTTATTGAAAGATCATCAGCACTTTTAAGTTATTGTCCTATCAACTGCAGATATAGCATTCACCTGTTGCAGGTCCACAGAGATGTTTTCCAATGGCTAGGTGTCCGAGACCCTTCAAGAAATGTACTTCATCCAAATTCAAATCTGCTACTGCAATGTAGGCAAAAGTATGATCGGGTTTATAAGTATATAAACAAGTCTCACATATTACAAGGTCTAAATTTGAAATATTACCAACAAATTTAGAACTAAATAATAGCATAAACACATATCAACTTTTTGTATGTTAATAATATACTTATGGAATAAGATCATGTTAAAGGACATAACTAATGTAAGAAATCTTCCCTTCGACTATATAATAAGATTATATACTTATTATACTGGTTATTGTAATGTATGTAAAATTACAAAATGGAGCGTAGAATATACTTTAAATATATATGAATATGTATCGAAAACAAAGTTAATGCACTATATGGCACATATGGAGTATGCAATGGTATGTACAGTGTTTCGAGAATGCAAAAATTCTTTTCCCTTTTCCTTCCCCAAGAAAACTTCAATAGGAAAACACCAGATCAGTTCAAATTGACCCGTTCAAAGCAAATATGTAAATCCATCTTGGTACAAAGCCAAATTTGTGAGAGAATGGTGCTATTCAGTAAATTTTCTTAATTCTGACAGCCAAGTTGCAGGGACAAACGTGGTAATGCGAGTGTCAGCATGGCAAGTGTCATGTCAGTTTACCACCAACATATTCATTCCAAAAAAGAGGCAACCATTGCTTTCTATATTAAGCAGTATTGTTTTGAAGTATGGTAATTCTCTGGCAAGGAATGGACCATAGAGTTCACAGTTGTAAGCAACCCAATACTGACTCCGCCTTAACAGATCAAGCTCCACAAATTTGTATTTGGAGTCTAAACTTAATACCCAACCCTGGATCTTTAGATCATTGGTCAATACCTAAAAAACAAATAATATAAATTGATCCTGCAAGCTCTCAGATTGTAGGGGTGACACTGCTTACATTTATCCTCCTTCAACCCCATATTGATGAAAATCTTGTGCATTGGAACTGCTTATTCTATTGAAAAATATGAAGCCTGAGTCATTTCAAGAAGTTTGTCAACTAAAACCAAGCAAAAATTTCAAACAGTTCTGAAAATTTGATCCAGGCAGGTGTGCTTAAGATTCAAACATCGATAAATCATCAGCTGGAACATTTAAAATTTTGCAGAGATGAGAAGCGAACAACTGTTGGTGTTCAGGAATAGCTAAGAGACTAAAGCATCCATAAGTCATTCACATTTAAAATCTCACTTAAGAATGGCAACTTGTGGCTCAAGAATAAGCAGGACAAGAATGTGAATTGAAAATTATATGTGCCTGAAAAAAAGAGTGCACTATATCTTCATTTACATTAAAGAACTGAAGTGGAGAGCAATGACAAAAACAACCGAAATGAGACAAAGGACATACAGTTACATAGATGCTGGTCTCCTTCCATTTGAAACATAAACAATGTCTTAACTCTTAACTGGTTTATGGTTGTAAAGACATGCATTTTATTTGTAAGCATAGTATATACAATACATTTAAGATCAAGCTGTGCAGCATGCCTAACTTAACCCCACTGAATAAGGTTTTCAAATTTCAAACTGATGAATAATTGTTAGTTTTGCCTCATTTATTTTCAGACTGATGCTGACCAAGCTATGTATCTAGACATTCATATGCCAACATGACTTGGCTCTATTGCAAGTCCTATTTGTATATACATAACAGTTTTATCATACAACTAGGTTTTTACTGTTTCCTATTCATAAGAATACTGTAAAAAGCAAAAACATCCATATAAAAATGCAAAAAATATGGTACAACAGATAGCTTAATTGAAGTAGAGAGTAAATTCACTGTATATAATTCTAGTACCTGCACATGTTATGCAGGTGACAAATTGGGAAAGGTGTACATCCTCAAGGGAATGACTGCTAAGGTCTATCATTGCAAATATGTATTTTGGGGAAACTCTAAAAAGGTTATCTTTGATTACTCTCAAACCAATGCTAAACACAATTTCCCTTATCTTTGCAACCGAATGCAAACAATTGCTTGTGTGAAAAGGGTGTTTTATGTATTTTTATGAGAGAAATTAATTTATTTAAAGCTAACAACACCAACATAAAATATACTTGTTGTAATAAAAATATTCTACTCATGGAATGAAATGAAAAAAGCATGTAGGAAGGAAAACCACAAACATAATAAGGGATAGGAACCTTACTGTCAATTCTCAAACGCTCTAAACTTATGCTTTGGTTTTGTCGCAGACTTCGGTCAGCCTAATAATTATTTTAAACAGTAAAAGAAACTTCATTATATGCTACTACATAAACACAAATAATGCATCAATAGCATACTCATTATGAAGAAGTTGATATATAATCTAGTTTGACTACTTATGAATTAGTCCTCAAATTGATATGAAATAAGTTTTTAAAAATCAGAATAGCAATTCCTGACATTTGTGACATCATAATACGAATTGACTCTGTTGAAATAATTGAAGCATGCATGGAACCATAAAAGGGGCATCACTCATATCAATTATGTTAGCCAAAGGCCAAAAAGGTCGATTTCTAATCAGAGTACAAAATTAAGCATAAACAACTAAGATAGAGCTTCTATTAACCATGTCCCACTAAGAAATATCTATTGTGATTATAAATGTACATGTACAAGAAGCAAGTAAGCATGCTGTCCAAACAGATGTAAACCCCGAACGTAAGACTCGTTTTTAGAAGTTAGATTCTTCTGGTAGTTACTAGAACTTGTCACTAGTTGCAGCATTTCACCTTTGTCACTGTCCTAAAATCCACGAGTGAAAACTTTTCCCAGGAGCTTTTGCGCTCATGGTATTGGAACTTCCAAATGCTTGAGAATCATTCATGCTTGACCTTAAATACAGAGGAAACCAGGGCTCACTATACTTGTTATGCAAAAACGATGACACCTAATCTGAGTTTCAACAAACAATATGAAGTGCCACTGATGAGATATAATGTCTTGAATTAAATGGAAACTATGACCATCACAGAGTGGTCTAAACTCAAACTATGCAGTTCTCTTTACACAATCCCCACAGAGAATGCTACCTTTTCATATTTAAGATTACTTCCAAAGGTAACTATACTCTAAATTTACTTCCAGCAGCATAAAGATTCTAAAGGGCAAGAGGTAGATTGATCAAGACTTTTTTTTTTTTTCTTTTATGGATTTTGACCTTAAGCTTGTAAGACTTTCGCTCAACCAGAAAAGCTTTCTTGATCCCATAACAATCTGTGAGCATGTGAGTCAAATACCCTCTGCCGGCTCCAAACTCCACCACTGCTGAGACTCGATTTTCGTCCCCATCAACATCATCACTTCCATCACATTCTTGACAAAATGGATTTGTCAAATCCTTTGGCTTTTGAAGCATTCCGAATGCCTCTATGTTCCCAATAATTGATGCTTGCTGCATGGCATGCTTCTCCTGATAAGGCAATTTCCTGCTACGAACAAAAGAAGAAGAGGATAACTATTCTTATTTTGATAACCTCTGAATATATTGCCACTCACTCAGAATCCAAACTTTCAGAAATTAACCTGTCCAGCCGCTGATTCAACCATTTACTGCAAGCATCAGGGACAAGATACGAATGTGGCAAGACCATAGAAATAGATGAATGGATCAACTTGATCTTCCCAAGGAGACCATGAAAGTCCTGCACCGACATCCTAAAAATAGCATTCCTCTTTGCAGCGGAACCCACAGCATCGGCTTTCCCGTCACCGCTGCTACCGCTATTGATTCCCTTAGAGTAGTATGGTTGGCTCTCCAGGACTTGGGCTTGTTTCTTGAAAGGGCATCGTTTGACGTGGGATTTCAGATTCTCCCCCGAAACGGAACTACACAGAGGAGGAAAACAATGGGTCAACCAAAGGGGAACTCGGTAAACGAATGGAAGTGAGATGATCAGGGTTGGACTAACTGGGATGGGTCGATCGGACAGGGGATCCGTCGAGCTTCGGCGGTTGTCTCATGATTTCCACAGAACCTGACGAGAAGCATATTACAGAGAAACGAACACGAAAGGAAAAGGAGAAGGGCTAGAATTAGGTTGACATATATAGTTACCTGGAGAAAGGGAGGGGTGTGTTGGCGCAGAGGCGGCGCTTGTTGGGGAGCCAGTACTGACACCGCTTCTTCGTGGTCACTTCTTCTTCCTCCACCGGTCCACCTCCACCGGCGCTGGTGGACGTGGGAGGAGGGTCCGGAGGCGGCGCGTGGGTAAGGAGGTGACGCATAAGTTAGGGAACTCGGTAGATGCGGCAGGGACGCGATGGTGTGGCCAATACCCACTTCAACGAGCTAAAGCGGTATTGTCCCCTGCGACACATCACACCCTCTCACCGAACGCCCTCTAAATCATTTAAACTTCGGCCTCCCACCCGACCTCATCCGGAGCCCTAACACTCGCAGCGGCCCACGGGTAAAGAGGTGACGCGTATCAGTTACGGGACTGGATTGATGTGCCCGGGACGTGATGGTGTAGTCAATAGTATTTCAAACGTCCTTTAAATGATGGGTAAGGAGGTGAGGCGTATGAGTTAGATGTGGCTAGGACGTGATCTTATAATTAATAGTACTTCAAATATCTTCTAAATCATTTAAATTTCATTGATCATCCGACTTTCTTTAAAGTCTTAACCCTCGTAGCAACTCGCAAATATAAAGGATGAGACGTATGAGTTACGAACTCGATCGATATGGCCATGACACGATAGTATAATTAATAGTACTTCAAACACTCTCTAAATCATTTAAATTTTACCTACCACCTAGCTTCCTCTTGAGCCCTAACCATCGTAGTGACCCGTGGGTACAAGAGTGAGACGTATAAGTTACGGGTCTCAGTCGATGTGGCTAGGACATGATGGTATAATTAATAGTACTTTAAACACCCTCTAAATCATTTAAATTTCACTTGTCACCCAACTTCATATGGAGCCCTAATAACCCTCGTAGCAACCCACGGGTACGGAGGGTGAGGCATATGAGTTGTGGTTGGGATGCAATGATATGGTTAATACTACTTTAATGAGCAAAAGCGACATTTTTATTTATGACACATCATGCCTTCACATCAAACGACCCCCCAACCCATTTAAACTTCGTCTCCTACTCGTTTCTTTCTCCTAAGACCCTAATCCTAAGTAACAACCCATAATGGATATATTAGAATATATTATACAGAGGATATGCAATGGAGATAAGTATCTATTGATTTTGTCTAATTTATTTTCTAAAATATTAATATATATTAATATTTATAAATATACATGATTTACATAATTTAAAAGTTATTTTATTATTTGAAATATTACAAAAAAAATTAAATATTGATAATCTAGAAAATTTTAAACTATTAATTATTATTTTATATGCATTTTGAAGTTATCTTATCAAAAAATTATATGAAAATATCTATCCAGGATTATATTAAAAAAATCTAATTATTATAATAGCCTCAAATGATATGATCGTATCAATCTTGAATGAAAATACAAAAACGAGATATGTTGAAATCCTTAGTTTGGTAGAAAAAATAATCTATATATTATTCTCTGTGACCAAGATCCTAATATGTATGTCAACCTAATGACCAAGATCCTACTAATGAGAGCAAATAGTTTCTTTTGAGCGACATGTGTTACCTTATATCATGGAGGTTAACTATGATTCTAAGTCATATCACAAGAATATAACATGGTCATAAACATTGATACTACTATAACTTCTGTTTTTGGCATATAACGCGTGTTATGTTTATATGAATGATAATCTTTGCACTACAATATTTTATGTTTTGATATGTGACATCAATTGTACTTATGCTTTCATTATAAAAATATATATTTAAATATAACTTATTTTGAAAAATATTATGAGCAAGCCCTGAGAAAAAAAAAAGTATTTATGTATATTTTGAAAAGTTTGCATTTAATGCATGAAGAATATATGTGTTTTAAAGAAAATATTTGGTTATGATAAGTTTTAACTGGCATGTGAGTCATGGCGCTGAAATGTGATTTGCTCATATAATAATTATATTTTATTTTTTTAGAGTTGCACAGTAAAAGCATGGTGGATATTGTTGATTGGATTATGCAATTGATCTATCGAACAAATTATGAATATCTTGTGAGTGAATTTATTATTGATTAACTTATAAAAGTCTCGCCTCTAGTGTGTTACTATTGGAGGGGGTAGAGAGAGGGCCAAGGGAGTTACTCCCTATTGCTCGGCTCATCCCCTCGCATCCAAATCTCTGTTAAGCTCAAGCTCTGAGACCATATTTTTTTTTATATTCTTTATTGTGTGCATTGCAACCATATTCAATGTGTCTCCGGACAACAAAGTCTAGACGACAAGGAAATGGGCTCTCTCTCTCTCTCTCTCTCTCTTCTCACACGGTTTCTCTTCCTCCTCGTAAAAGCTCAACAAACTCTATGGAGAATCTAATGAATCGATCATTGGGACTGAAGTATCGGTACTCCTTGACGACACTGCATAGTGGATACTCATAAAAAGGATCGGACTCGACTCTCACTGCAACCGTGCCTTGACTATAGTTATATTCTTCTATCTTATGACGATGGCTAAACCAGCAAATGGACCGCTCTCGCTGTCCTATCGAGTGGATGACTTTCATCCGATGACCAAGCTTGTTAGAGCCTTAAAAATTAAAATTGCATTTTAGGTAAAATAACATATTTAATGTACTATAAGAGAGATTGTGCCCTAATAAAAGGAAGGCAGAGAGAAAGAGAGAGAACCATTGATTTAAAGTGTGACCACAACCGGTCGTCCACCTATTCCTCCGCCATATTTCGCTGCGTCCACGGCTAATAATGGAAACCTCCCTTCCCCCGTCCCCATTTACCACTTCCACAGAGGGCGTTCTCGGCATTTCACGTATCAAGGCTAGGAATATTCTCCCTAATGACGTGCGATCAACCAAACACCATGCGCGCCATTTCCTCCATTACCGAACATCTATAAAGACCCGTCTCCCCTCTGCTCTAAAGCCTTAAAAGCTCAAGGAACATCCTTTGCAGAGGGCGAGGAACTACTCCCTTTTCTTCCTTCTTCTCCATACCTTCTCCTCCTATGGAGAAGAAGGAAGAGAACAATGGCACCTCCACCGTGACCAAAACTTCCCACCGCCCCAAGAAGCGCAGCACGCTGGGCATCGTTTGGGCCTCCATCTTCACTATGCGTCGCTGCTCATCCAGCAAGAAAGGCCCTAAATCTCCGACAGCTGCCGATGGTATGCTGAAGAGCCTTGTCGATGGTATGCGCCCTCTCCATCTCCAACTCGACTACCGCCCGCCGTTCCCTCTTTTGCCGCCGCCTCCACCAGCTGGACACGAGTCGTTCCACGATGTGTTCCCCCCGCCGTCTTCCCCCGCGTGCTCCTCCAACGACGGCATGAGCCGCTATGCTTCCGCGGAGGATCTACAAGCACTCGACGACGACACGGACGAGGGCAACGATGGCAGCACTGGGGCCAACGACGTCGACGAGGGGGAGGCTTCACATGCAATCGACACGAAGGCCGAGGAGTTCATCACAAGGTTCTACGAGCAGATGCGGCTCCAGCGCCTGGACTCGCAACCAGGCCACTGAACAGGCTGCGTTCTAATTGTCATAGGTGGGTGCATGCTATTAATTTTGTGATCCCTCCAGAATCCCTGAGAGAACAAATGGTTCTGTTACCAGCTCGTCCCTAAATCTCTCAAATTGATTATTTGATTGAGCATCGGATGGGCAGTTTGGATGCTGCACAGTGACAGCGGTAATAACAACGAATGGTATTTATACGAGCTGAGGCATCCTCCTTAGTAAAAATTGATGAATTGGAAGGTGCAATTGGCCTGTAGAAATATCTAGAATGTGTTAGAAAACATATTATCAGTTAATTATCCTTCCATATGTAATCTATATGTAGTGTCCAAAGCAAGAGAAGATGAAGGTTATCCTTCACCTGTCTGCTGAAGGTCCAAAGTAAACAATTGTAAGTTTCATTCTTATCCTCTATGATTATAAATATAATTGTATGTTTTCTTCTTACTCCTTATAACCAAAAAGATAATCTTAAATTTTTCTCTTATCTTTTATGATCAAATGCTTATCTTCATCATTATAAAAGTGGACAAATTTACCTTTCATGCAAGGAGAAAATAGAGGATTTTAGCATCCATACTTAAACATGTCATGTTACTAATTTGAACATAAGAAGGATTAAATATGAAAATCTCTCTCGACCATGATTTTTGAGCAAGTGATACATCGAGAACTTGACATTTTTATCTCGGAGACATCTTAGATTTCCTTACACATACGAATCATATTGGATTGATCAAAACATCAATAATATTTTCTACTAACAGATTAAATCTACATTTCACATATGACATCAGAGAACATGCTGCTACTTGAAAAGCAATTTCCAATCAACCAAAGCTAGATAAACTTATTCTTTGAGTTTTGAGCACGAGCCATATATTATTGTTTTACAAAATCCAAATGCTACGAGTTAAGGAAGCGTGACACTTTATTGTTAATTAATGAATTTGTTCCAAATTTGCATGATAAAAGCTCCAACCAAGGCACCTGATTCACTATCTGGCCATCAAGACATTTCATGAAATTTTAAGTGTAATGGAAATAGCTAGATATGTGGAAGAAGTTTCATCTTCATAATCACAACGGTCTCGGGACAAGTTCACATTTGGGACCATCTTCCCAAGTTCACATTTGGGAAGAAGTTGCTCAACATGGTGCCTTGTTTATTAATACAGTTCCTCATTATTTTGCAAATACAAAGTGATTAGCAACACTTAACCCCCGTTTCTTAACACTCAGCATCCTCATTATTTTGTAAATACAAAGAGATTAGCAACACTTAACCCCCGTTTCTTAACACTCAGCAACATCGAGGCTAGAGATGCTATGATGGCAAAATAACTCGGCAAAGTGAATAAACTAGTCATCTCCTTTGCCAAGTTCAAGATATTGTAGCTACTTCGAGAAGAAAATATAGAAACGGATGCGCTAATGAGAATAGTGTTAGGTCCCATCGCTTTTCTGGATGATGGTCCCAAGGACGTTGTTCATACGAAACATTAATCTTCTAGACGTATAAAAGAAGACTTACTATATAGATATGATGTCAAATTATAAGACAAACATTCAAGATCCTACAACAAGGTTGTTATTGTCCGACATTGAGGAAGGATGTGATAGCATACACTCAAAAATACGATTGATGCTAGAGATTCACACGGATCCAATATCAACTAGTAATTTCTCTAAGCTCGATTGATCGTGTATGGTCTTTGCTTAATGGGAGATAGATCTATTCGATCTTTTCCATCAGTATTGGGACAATTGAAGTTCTTGACTGTCGATGTCAACTACTTCACTAAATGTAAATGGGTGAAAACTGTTAGCCTCTATCATCGAAGAATAAATTGAGAACCTGGTATGGAAGAATACTATCACAAAGTTTGAGCTACCCAAGAAAATCATCACTATCAATAATGGAACTCGGTCAACAACATCATGTTTAAAGAATTCTGTCTGTTGAGATCATACTTAAAATTTAATTACGTGGCCCACCCTCAAACTATGGGGCTTGCCGAATTACGTGGCCTAAGAGGTGCGTCACCGACACCAAGGGAGGACACTTTGAGTAGACTGAGCTTCTGCGGACATCAAAAACCACTTTGTAAGACCAATGGAGGACACTTTGAGTAGACTGAGCTTCTGTGGACATCCAAAACCACTTTGAAGACCGGACCAGAGGAATAATCCCCTTCAACCATACGGATGCAATTTTGTGCTGGTATACCAACGTAAAAGAACATCCCACGCTAAGCCTCGTCAAAAATCTTTTCTCTCCATCACAGTGTTAGAACCCTTGCAGATTCTAAACTTGGGGTTGATCTCTTTAGGGGATCGACCTCCTTGGAACTCTATAGGGGTTCCTCCCTCCAAGTTGCTGCTCAAAGGCTGCAGAAAAGATTCATCTATTGCTTATGAAAAAAAGAGGAATACATGACTATTTATATGGCTTCTAAACCCTAACTTCTAACAGGACTCATATTCAAGACTCCTACTTTCTAATCAAGTCATAATAGGATTTCTACTCAAGACTCATATTCCTTTACAACTCATAATTTTTCTTTAAGAAATAATCTCCTAATCCTAGTCGGCCTCTTCACCTCTTTAATAGGAGTCGACTTAGGTAGGTTTTACATGAATGTCCCTCTTAATTAGGACTCTCTTAGCTATGAACTTGGAGCTACCCGATACGAACTTGCAAAACCCAGATCAACCAACCTAGGAGGGACAAAATTAAGCGGTGAGAAACCTCCCTTTAAGACGATCTAATAGTTTTCGAGACAAACGATACCGCGTTATCTGCATCTCTCGGACGAGAACATAGACCGGTTTAGAAACACTAACATGATACCAACACAACAATCGAAACTATCCCATGGGTGCACAGATGCTAAGTTCAATACCAAGGCTTAACTGATACACCACTTTAATATTAATAATAATAATAATAATAATAATAATAATAATAATAATAATAATAATAATAATAATAATAATAATAAAAAGGCATTTACATTTGTCATCGTAGGTCATCTCCTAAACGTGTTGTGATGAGAGCTGAAAAAACTATAGTCTGGATGATCTACTCGAACAAGGCGAAGCCAATTGTCTGCAGCTTGAAGTAGCGAACCCGCTAGCTGTCGTTCGTAGAGTCCGCTAGATGTCCAAATGGAACCCCTGAACTTGTACGAAGCAAGACCAAAGGCGGGCAAACTTACCGTTGCAGACATGTTGGATCTCTTGATATTACTAACAGAACAAGATCCAAAACCCTCAGAGTTTGGACTGGGTCCACCTGCCAACAGAAACCAAACGCACATTGAAGTACTGAAAAAGTAATAGCGCTTTTTAAAAGATCCGTGTTTATTCGCACTGTACATTTAAGGTAAAACCCTCACTGATTGTTGTTGGAACTGACACAGGAATCTGATTTCTTCTTACACCGTCTATTGCTGGCTTTCTCTCAACACTACTCTAGCAACAATAGTAATTGACAAGTACAACTATTATCAGGGGTATACATAAACCCCCGTGAGAAACTGTCAGTAAAAAAAACATATCAGAACCTAATTGTCAACAGCTGCATGTTGAGTTCTATTGGTGCAGATAACCTAATTTCTCAATGTAATCATGTCTGCACTCTCTCAAAATGGCCCTATCCCTTTATACAAACATTATGCAGTGAAGAGACATGCTTACACTTGGAAATCAAAATATTATGAAATGAAAATGGAGCTCATTGAGGGGCAACAGTAGATCTCCAGGGGAAACAGAACAAGCAGATAAATTAACTGCATTGAGATCACATGGTTATGCATTTGCTTGTCTCCAACTCTAGATTCCATTTTGTTGTCTATAATTTGGATAGAGTTCATCATAGCCACAATAAGATACTAGATATAAACATGGTTCCAAATTTGTGGGCGTCCTTATAAAGGTGGCTTAAAGATGCTTTACTTCTGTGAGTTGCCAATGAGTGGAAGGTCAAAAAGCAAGCATCCAAGTCTCTTAATGTTGGTCCTGTTGGTATCCTGTAAATTGGGTACCTGCAGTAAAAACATCACCAAGGAAAATTAAATAATTATTACTGACATGAGTAAACCAAACACAACATGAAAAGAAACAACCAGATGCATGCAGCCTACACAAGTTTCATTCATGTAAAAGATGATTAGTGGTCAATTAATAAATCAACGAAAGCATACCATGCAACAGACATCCAACTCAAGGACAGTAGATCACAGCTTTTGTAGTTTTTAAGATTTGGATATGTACTTGCAAGACCTGATATCTGCAACATATATCAGTAGGTATAAGAGAAAAAAAATCATTTTTTTTCTCTTATATTCAATATTAGACTTGCCTTGTCAGCAAGAGGTTCTCTACTGTATGGTGGATCCCTCTCTAGGTACTCAAAAACAGGAACAGTGGCCGGGTTGCAAGACTCGCCATCACCATCTACGAAGCATCCTCGCTCATGGTGGTTGGTGGTTCCCAAAGATGCAAATCCTTCCTGTATCTGGTCTACTTCACTCTCGCTGCTGCTATCACTGCTAGTATCCAGGTAATGTTGCCCATCACTTTCCTCACCAGGTCTAAAATGAGAAATAGAGCCTACTCAAAATTCTATGACTATTGGATTACACATTTCATTTAAGTTTCAGCAGTGATACAATTAGAATTATCATGACCTGAACTGACACCAAAACTGAACTACATAACAAACAATTGCTCAACATTTAAAAGAAAAACAAAACAAAAGATCACTCAACTAGTCCGTAGATATCTATGGGCTCACGGGAAAAGGTAATGACAGACATGGCTGTTCCAAGACATACTAAAGGTGGAGATCATGTTCTAGTACTGCGGTACATGCTTTACCAGGTTTGCCTCCTACCTTTTACCTGCTTTAATATTATGTTATTGTTTAATACTATACCACAAATACTTTGCAAAGTTTCTGCAGTCCCTGCATGGCATAAAGCTTGTGTGCACACCAATTTGTTAATCTTGTACGGCAGAATATATAATGTGGAACTGATATCTGGACATTATTGTGTAAAGAATTCCTGCATTTGTAAGTCATTAACAATATCACCAGTGAATTTACAAGTAGTTCATACTGACTATTACTTTTATCATACAAATATCCCAAATTAACTTAAAATATTTAAGAAAGTGAAACTCATAGCATAATACTCTAAAAAAGCAAAAACACAACTGACAGGGGTAAGGAAGGATATAAAATGAGTAAAAGAACTGGAGGCTGTAAGAAATAGATTGGTTATGGCTTTGATGGGATAGTTAATATATGGTTCAAAGCCATCTATCTTTGGACTATTGATCTGAATTCAAATGAATAACCTGCTAGCAAGCTGGACAAGCAAATGATAAGAATACAGTGATACAGTGGCACTTTAGAGAGTTGCACACAGGACTCAATGGACAAAATGGCAAGTTTCAGACAGTATTGTAATATTATATATGAAGAAATTTTTTGCATAATACTAACAATTAATCAAAGAAACATTTTATACAAATTAGACATTCTACAACTATGGCATATGATACCTTATAGAAGTACCATAACCAAGTACCTTACAAGTCCAAGAAAATTACTCAAGTTCATAGTATATTAAAAGTCCAAAACACATACATATCGGCAGTACTCATTATGTCCATGAGTGTTCTGAAGATATTATGTGTATCCCAGAAACTCATCATATATCAATATAAAAGTATATATATGATAAGACTATATAGTTTACAAGCTTTGAAGAATCCTACAGGTATGAGTAGGAAGCACTTTGAGGTGTTTATGGTTTATAACCATCATGAAAATCAGTTTTCAACCAGATAAATCAATCTAATTGAACGATCATACACTCTAATAAAACAATAAAGCAGGCTGACACACCTTCATTATGCTCATATAGAAAGTAGAGTTCATTAGCCAAAACGGGCTTCCACCAGAAAGAACTATAAGGTAGAGGTAAGGACAAACTGCTGCTCAGGCTACAATGATGGATCAACAACATGTAATAACCAAATATGGTGGATGAACAAAAGCAATCTCTTGTAAATACCAAAGCCCTAGAGGCCTCAGCTGATGTTTCGCAAAGAGAACTGAAAGACAGTTGTGTTACATGAGGCTTTGTAGGAAGCAGCTATTACTGCCTTTGTGATGTCAACTTGTTTTACATTAACTTAAATTCATAAAAGAACATAATTCGTGCCCCTTAGTATTACATATAGTTTTGAACAAAATTAAGCAAACCCCTGCCAATGTCCAGCACTCATATTCCATCTCCAGCTGGAAAATATAGATGAAATCATATGAATATCAGAGAATGTATTTACTTCTTATTCCAGCTGAACTAAGATTGAAAAGGTTGCAAATCAAAAACTTCTAATCATCACAATTTATTATTTGTTCATGAAACAGCAACATCATAACAGTTTTGTGCATGTATTAACATGATGCCTTTTGCTATGATATGAATGGGTTTTTTGTTAGCATACATTATAAAAATAATATATAGACTGTTCAAGAGATCAACCTGAAGAAAGAATGAATTTGGACTAATCCTAATCTATTTAAGGTGGCAGCTCTCTGAATTTGAAGCAGCAAGATAGAAGGGAACAAAAGCAGCTGTCTGCAAAGGACAGACAACCACCACAAAAAAAGGTAGCTTCAAGCTACAGATTGACCAAACAAACTTCATATGCAATAATAACCTTTCTTAGTGTGGAACCAATGTTGGTCGATCCATGTAGGCTTACATGCAAAAAGCAAGAATACACCATAACTAAATGCTTCTTAAAGTTTAAATTTTGCACTATAACAGAGCTCCATGAACCAGAATGAAGCAGCATCGAATGACATTTCACGAGTATATAGACACCATAAACAGCAAAGCAACAAAAATTTAGAGTTTGGCATTTCACGTCCTTGGTGGCAAATTTATTCTTTAATATTGAAGATATCCAGTGAAATTTGCGATGAGGTGCTACCCTATTTCGTAAAGTTTAAGCTATAAGATTTAATAGCTGGGACTGCAGATGGAAGCATGTAGCGAAATCATTCATACCTCGATCTCAAAGTGGGAGTAGAAGTGTCCACATATATCTGAATGGCAGAGAGATACGGCACATAATACTGCACAACGGAGTCATTGCCGTTCAGCACCAGCGGTACCCCGGCGCCATAAGCGCTCCATTCCTTGAAAGACTCCCAGAGATCTCCGAGGCAAAAGTAGGGGTGCGACTTCAACGCGTCGTCGCAGTTCCTCCACCCTCTAACGTTTGTCTGCCACGATCCAAAATATTAGACCCACTCAACGACCCGACCAATATAACTCTCGGAAGCAGACGAAAGCTAACACCTTTCTCGCGTAAATCCATTATCGAACCTTGGGGAAGTAATGAGCGGGGACGATCAGAGTGGTGAATTCGAGAAATCGGTCAAGATTGCCGGCAGGAGTCGGGAGAGACGAAGCCGAAGACGAGACGGAGGGTTTCGATGACGAATCATCCGATTTGGCTCGGTTCTCGGCCGCCTCACGGGACTCTTCCGGGGCCAGGGACGGCCGGGTCCTCGGCCGCGCCGGCCTTTGCGTCGATGATTTCTTCTGCTGGAGCTTCTGTTGCTGTTGTTCGAGATGCCTCCTAACGGCGGGAGGGCAATAGAAGCGATCAACGCCGTGGAAGCGGGCCGACGACGAACCACCGGTGGTAACCATATCGGCAAAGGAAGAAGGAAGGGGCAAATTCGACGGATTAGGGAAATCCTAGAATTCCTCGGGGGAACTTTCGATTTGGAGGGCTCTCGAGATCGTTAATGACGATCGATCGATCGATCGAACTTCTTCTAATTAGGATTTTTGACCGGGGCGGTGGGTCGGGGGGTGGTGGGGGGCCGGGGGCCGTGTGGTTTTCCGCTTCCCCTACGCTGCGAAGACAAATTTGGGGATCCCCTCACCACCGGCGGTAATCGTCTCCAAGGCGAGTCCCGTCTCTTGTACGTTCGCGCGCGCTTGGATGCATCCGTGCAGGAACGGATATTCCGTCCATGGTCTCGCACAATAAATCTTATCCGCATGTTTTGGCAGAATATTCTCCGACCAATTTAGTACGCGTCCCTTACCGATTCTTTTGGTCACGGTGGGCCTACCCAGGATGGTGTGGCGGGAAAGGTACCGAGGGCACGGGGTATGACAACGGTTACTTTGGAGCGGTGGCTCCAACAACTGGTGGCGGTGGTCTCAGAGAGAGAGAGAGAGAGAGAGAGAGAGAGCGAGACAGAGCGAGAGGGGCATATGGTGCGTGTGTTTGTGGAGATGGGAGTTTGATGGATGCTTTAACTCCCTTGTCATTCGTCCACGTGTCTTATGTGGACTTGAAATGTGGATGGAGCCACATCATAAGATGACTTTATCCGCTGCGTAGCATTTTTCTCATAATTAAACATATTCTAGTAAATTAACTAGTCATCATAGCCGACGCAACTTTATTCTAATCCGATCAAATCAATTATCCATCCACATATGAACGAGCTGTCAACGATTGACCGTGAAGGGCCGCAACTTGCATTATTTATCGCCAACGTGGTCACCTCTTTGTCCCGATCTCGGGTTCCAAAGGTTCGGCCCAGTCATATCTGACCTGGGCCCCAGTCGTGACCATGGCAACTACCGGTGTTCAACTTGGGATGAGGACACCAAGAGAACCGCGTTCCTTTTCGTTTGTCATCCAAATCAAGAGGCAGGTGAACAACGAGGCATGTTTGTCGGGTACCAACCTATATCAACTTGAATGTGATGGTTCTTTTGAACCCATCTCTGATCTTGCAGGTGGTGGATTTGCTCTCAAGCATGCTGGAAGAGGTGTCATTATGGAAGTCGGGTTCCGCAGCCATGCCACCTCTGCACTTATGGCGGATGCCTTTGCACTGTGGCACTGTGAGAGGGATTTAAACATGCTCGCCGTCGGTGCTTGCATCATTTTGGAGTCCACTCGGATTCCATCCAGGTTATTGCTGCGCAGGTTTGAGTTTCACATTTTATCTTATTTCGATAGGTCTCACAACATTGTTGCCCATGATTCTGCCCATTTCTGCAGGGCAAATGGCTGTAATCTTTTTATGGTCTTCCCTGGAGCATCCTCTTCCTCCGTTTTTTCTTAGCTCCGGCTAAGCCAATATGGTTTTTACTTCCTTGGAAAAAAAAAACAAGCCTCACGTCATCGCATGAGGAGGAAAAGCAAGCACATAATGTATAAAGATTAGTTGAGAGACATCACAGTAGGTCATACACTAATTTGTTATTACACTTTAGTTATAGGAACGGCCCCGATATGGATTCCTCGCAATATCTGCATCAGAACATATCAGGATGTAGGGTTTGATATTGCTGAGAAAAAGTTGGCCAAAGACTTCTTGCATGAATGTGTTTAAGATCATGAACCACTTCTCTGGAGGAATGATGGTTGGACCGTGTGTTCATCAAGCATTGACATGGGCACCTGCTCCCAGATACCTTCATTATATGGAACTTCAGTATCGGCAGCAGATTTGCCAAAAGCTAAGTTTGCATGCACTTTATAAGGATGACCTTCTTCTAGGACCACTTGTAATGTATATGCACTTATACAGGGGGCCACTTGATTGTTTGAGGAAAATTCTTGAGTAAGTGCAGTCTGTTCAGAATCATGCAACAAAGCATGAGTCGTTCACCAACCATCTCAAATCTGGTGATATCATTAGGCCGACAACTTTGTTCGATGGTAAACCAATCGACACTGGCAATTGCGTAGTCTAGATGTCACCTGCAGTACTGTTTGCTGTCAACATTGACAGTTAAAAAGACATCCGCCCTCGAATAGCTGAACATCAAAGAGAATATATGAACTTCAACAATCAGATGTGAGCGATGATGTTTTCTTTTGGGAAGAATTGCCTGTGAGGTATTCGTTCTTTTGTTCTTTAACTAGCTTTCTCCCCCTGCTCGTGTTAGTCACATTCATGCTTAAAGATCTCCACCGAGTTATGGGTTAAACATCTGCATAAATTGTGATGCTGTTATCATGTTCCTTGCTGGAGGTCTTCATTACAGTCTTTACTTAATCTCAACACAATTCTGTTGCCAACCAAAGAGCATGCACTTTATCATGATAAGGGCCACTAAGTTGATCAGCCACAGCTTCCATTGACCTACAGTTTTGTAGCAAAAGAACCTTCGCATGGCAAATAGTTTTTCGCTGCAGGAACAGTATGCAGCTTTATTTTCGTCGAACACCTGCGTCATGGTTTCGTTCATCCATTTGAGCAGAAGTGCGTGCACAAGGAGACGGGCCAAGAATTGGGTAAAAGATAAAAAGGAATTCTTCTTCTACCATGCTCCCTCTCAGTCATTTGCACCTGCATATGATCGAGACTAGACCAGTTTTTGAACTAGATTCACTATTTCTCCATCTCTAAGAATACCTAGTGAAAAGATTTGTCATACGAACTGGAAACAAAACAAAACGATAGATGGAAATTCTTATTTTATTTTTTTCAAAAAAAGATGGAAAAGAAAATGACACTTAAATTACATAGAACTTTCTATTAAATAAGCTGAAAAGTAATCAGCCAAAAGTTTTTTTTGATAAAGTAACAATTGAATTACCTAAAAACTTTCTATTAAACTATGCTAAAAAGGAATAAGCTAAAACCATTTTTTATTTAAGAAAAGGAGGAGAATCATAAAGAATCTCTCCTCTTTTTTTTTTTTTAACTTGATGAATTTTTTTAAAAAATAATTTTTGAAAATTTTTTGATAGCGTTTCAACTTTAAAAAAATTCTCGCAAAACACACTTTAAAAATTTATTTTTATTTTCAAAAATTCATCGTTTTAACTTTACAAGATTCTCTGCGCGTGGGTGGGTGATCCGTTACGGGGCTCCCTCAGCCACCCGCAAGCCGGCCAGGGAGTCCACAGGCCCCACGCGCGGCCTGAAGGACCGACCCTTCTCTGTGGGCCCCATCCCGGTGACTTCGGCGCCAACTTTCCCCTCCCTCTCTCTTTCTTTCTCACCCGAACCAGCCGAGGCAACGGGCCATTCTGGTGCGGACAATACCGAGCCTGGAGTTCGAATTTTTCGAACGTTGGAAGACACAAACAAAGCACGCGCCTGGCATTTGCACACTACAAAACCCCCTTCCCACCCCATAAATATCGCCTCATGTTCCGTGTTCGATGGACGTTCTGAGGCAAAAGATTTTTTTCCGATCATTAGTAAAGAATATAGAACATTTTAACAAAAAAAAATATCTTTACTGATGACTTTTAATAGGACGACATCTCATATTCATTTTTATTTTATTTTTTCACTTGGAAAAGAAATACTCTCAGACTTTTACCTAAGATCACAGATGTTTGCTAAAATTCTTTAATTTTAATAATTAATTATAAAAATCTTAAAAAATAAGATAGTATTAACCATACTAGAATTAAAATTTTGAGATGATTTAGTAGACTAAGCACTAATCAAAATTGTACTTACACTCGATTACAATATTAATTCAAAAATCTTAAAATTTGATAATTAATTAATATAATTTTGTATAAAAATAAAAAATAATAATAATCATCTTAAAGTATAGCTCGGTGGAAGTTCGAGTTGGTTTAATCAAAGTTAACTAAGTTACACTCAGAAATTGAATTAAGTTACGTCCAATCAAAGAACAACCTATTCAAAAAGTCTCTAATTTTGATAGTTAATTATCATAAAAATTTTAAAAAATAAAAAATACTAATCATCTTATAACCATGTCATAGTATTTCTATGGAAGTTAAGATTGGTTTACTAAAAGTTGATAAAATTATACTCGATAATAAAATCGATTAATTTTTTTTAAATTTTAATGATTAATTATTATATTTTTTTAAAAATTAAAATATTAACATCTAAGAATCATACTCTAGTTATATGTAAAAGCTTGAGTTGGTTAAGTGAAACTTAATCCAATTGCACCCGAAATTGGACTATCTAAAATATTTTCAATTTCAATTGGGCTTGATTCATGAATTATTTTTATCATTTATAAAAGAAATATCTCGAGATAAAAATAAAAAAACAAATGACAAAAGTTTTTGGATAAAACACCAGAATATACTCCTTGAAAAAAAAAACATAATTTCAATATATTCACTCATATTATCTTCTTGCATTCATTCACAAGTTTCCCAGATTAATAACTATTGATCTCGTGACGAAGTGACTCATTCGTAGATTTGCGCTCAGATAGAAAATATATTATCCTAAAAGCCATTTAGCTCAGGGAGCTGCATCACATCAGACCCAGACCTGTGGACTCCTAGTCTCCTGCAAAATAGGCTTGCAAACAAACTGGAACGAATAGATAGATTTCGCATCGATCACCCTCTATGTGTCGTCTATTGACAAATAATCAGGTCACAATAGTTGTGGTAGGGAAAGTATCAGCGCCAATAACTCATCCTACCACCTAGGCCGAGCAAGCCACCTAAGCAAAAAATATAGGAGCTCCCACTAATTCTCTATAGCCATCGACAAGAGATCAACCCATGATCCTTGCCTACCCCGGCTTCTCAAAAAGAGATAGTAAAAATCACTCCTTGTTGATCCTACGAGGAAATGGCCATTTCCTTATATTAATAGTCGGCGGCATGGTTCGTCTCCCTCGTACGTCCCTTTCAGACAATTGAAGGAGGGACCACTTTCTACCTAACTCAAAGCGGTAAAAAAGTCACACATGGAATGTCATCCCAGAGACCCAACATCAACACTGACCTCGAGACGAACTGGTAAGCTACCTCTATTAATGGAACATGATGAGTAGGGTAGGGGGAAACCCTCACCCATCCCTGTCCTCACCG